TTTTTTTTTTTTTTTTTTTTTTTCCGAAACGATAGGAAGCTCTTATAAATAGACCGAATAGTAGTTCAAGTACAATCACATTCAAATACAAATATCCGCGTCAAATGAGAGACCTCGTATGAGAGGTCTAGAAACACAGACAATAAACAATGGCAGCACAAGGCCGACAACCAAAGCTATACAACAATAGAAAGCTAGAGAGAAATAAAAAACTGTCAAAGACCTAGATTAAAACTCTCAAGCCGGAAGACTCTTATCTGATTTGCACAAATTCTTTCCACTCCCTTATTGCTTGCCTAATTAGGCTGTGCTCAGGGAGTCGTTGCAAGTTACAACTACGAATTTTAATTGATCTTTAAGACTCCATAAGGGGAGGATATTTTAGACTTAAGTAAACATCAATAAGTGACTAAAACCGATGTATAATGCAATTGCAGTTGGGCATTAATCCATGCATATCTATAATATTATGATGAATGTAATGTATAAGAAAATTTGTTTCGCAACTCTATTCTACGAGAATGTGTCACAATAAATCGATCAATATCAATGTCAATATCCTCTTCAAGATCTTATTTCACTTACAGCTGTAAAGAGTGTAAATGTCTATTTCAATTATAATTAGCAAATCCGTTGTAGTCTAGGTGGTTAGGATACTCGGCTCTCACCCGAGAGACCCGGGTTCAAGTCCCGGCAACGGAATAAATTTTTTTAAATTTTTGTTTCATTTACTTCAAAATGTTACTTAAGGAAAGCTCAAACAAATCCGTTGTAGTCTAGGTGGTTAGGATACTCGGCTCTCACCCGAGAGACCCGGGTTCAAGTCCCGGCAACGGAATACATTTTATTTAAAAAAAATTACATTTTCATTTGTTTTATCTCAGTCTTAACGGCGTCGTTTCATACGTCTCTCTTCATACTTTCACACCCCGTCTTGAGTTTGAATTTCTTCCCCACCGGCGAATCCTAACCCTAGCCCGAAAAGAGGTACTTTTTTTCCCCCCTCTACCTCTTTGTATCCTTCGACGGAAATGATACATTTAAGCTTCCAATTTGTGGATGCTTTTAGAAGCATTTTTTTAATTATTATTATTATGATTTATTGCCTGGGAATTCAATTTTCAGTTGATGTGTGGTGAAAAAAGGATTAGAAGCTTAAATTGCAAAACACCATTATAATTATCTACAGTATTTCTTAGTTCATAGCCAATATAATTATGTTTTTTTTTTCGATTTTACAGTTACAGATTTGGGATATGCTAAGTTGCAACTATTTAGACATGCCGCTTCTTGATTTTTCACTTAGTATGCTTGTCTGTTTGTTAGCTTTGTACTGTGATTGAATGCTGTTTGAACAAGTATTTATGATGCCTTTGTATGTGATGAATGTGTATTATTGTGGCTCTGCAAAATTTTTGTCTATAATTCTATCTCAAACTTCTGATTATAGATACTGCAATGTTTAGGCTCTTCATGTTTTCTAGAGATATAGACTCTTATCCTATCCAACTGTGTGTTTCAAAATTAAAACATGTTTCTGTGCTGGATTTGAACAACCCAAGTCTCTTCCCCAGTGTGTGCGCTTTTTGTTATGAAATCATTAACATATGCTTGAATACAATCAACATCTTATTCTAATACGTGGTTAAATTTAGGGGTACAAAAATTGCTCTTAAACTTAAACCAATGTAAGTTAATAAAACGCTGCAGAAGCCAACCCAACAATGTAAGCTCGAGCTCGCTCGCCTTGTTTACAACCCTTACGTGTGTAGTATTTAAAGTTCAAATCCTGTGTGGTGTTCCGAGGTTAATATTCTGGAACATGCAAAGGTGGCGTGCCATTTCTCCTCGTGCAATGTTGTTTGCATGAAAGTTTCTTTACTTTTCATTTTCTTTATTATTTTCTTGAATGATGGTTTAAATATTTAATAAATACGTTTACTTGAGTTCTTTTGAAATTTTCTTGTTTTGTGATTAAGAGTATTGAAAGTTTGAAACTTAATACTAAGATGTGTCTTTTCTGGTTTACATGTTATAGCAACCATCTTTTGAGACGAGGACACGAAAAGGCTTTTGTCTGAATTGAGAAAATTTTTGGACCTTATCCAGAGTGTAATAATAATGCTTTCACCAGAAGATGTTGCTTGGGCAGATTCTTGCTTGAGCAAAGATATAATAATGCCTTCACCAGAAGATGTTGCTTGGGCAGATTCTTGCTTGAGCAAAGATTCTGACGTGTTGGACAATGATTGGAACTTGAATGCTCTTAAAGAGGCATTGTTAGAAACTTCTACTCCACAAAATAAACCATCTCTTAATGAGAATACTGATGATTTCTGGTCGAGCCATAAAGTCGAAGATATTTTCCTCCCGACATACAACGAGAATTCGAGGGACCTTGGATTGTCTGATGATGAGACAGGCTTTGTTTTTCAGACAAATGAGTTGGATCAACCGGCAAAAGACATTTTCAAGGTATGGGATTTAGACCTACCACCCGAAGAGGATGATGATGATCTCGTGAAGCAGCTGAATAAAGCCCTTGGAGAAAATTCCTTAGATTCGAGATCTTCAACTTCCGATGATAATGTTACTAAGGCATGGAAAGATTTGCCTGGCAAGTCACTTGACGATCTCATTTCCGGAATTGCAGATCTCGCGTTGAATCCAAGTTCTGGCTGATTTTGTTAAACACTGTTGAATTATCTCATAGTGACCGAAAAATAACCTTTATTTGAGTTTGACGTAACTTACATTTGTACTGACCAACATTAAGTAAGCTAACTGAAGCTAGTTGCTAGCTTATAGCTGATAAGTTAGCATATAGCTTTTAAGTTATTTTCAAGCTTATAGCTGATAGTTTATATTACGTATGGTTGAAAAGTTAGCTTATATGATAAAAGTATTTGGTAAATTAGATTGAAATAAAATTTTCAATAGACTTATTTGAAAAAATACTCAAGGAAACTTAGGAGATAAGTTCGAGCTTTTTAAAAAATGTCTACCTACCAAATAAAATAACAAGAATTTATAAGCTAATCAAATTAGTTATAAGCTAACTTATATGCTTATCAAATACAATCTAAACTTTTTTAGCTTTTTCAATGTGTTCTTTTTTAGATGAGCATGTGGAATTCTTTGTTAAAGGAAAAACACTTGCATAGTCGAGTCTCTTGGTTTGACTAAATCTGGATATTTTGAGCTTATTGGCCCAGTTGAAAGAAGGTGACCTTACCTCCTATATTTTGGATCTAAAGGATTTGAGCCCATTGAGCCTGGTGTGTTGGGCTTTACTGAGTAGTTTAGCCGGGTATAGCTTTTGATGGCCCGGTTACGTATGACGTGGCGAGCAACGCACGGATGATATGGTTCTCACTGTCCCACCAAATCCCATAACCAAATATGGGCCATTTACTCTCAATCATTCGGACAACCACATCACCATAAAAATAATAACTAAATAAACATATTACAGCCTCACATTTATGAATCTTGCAAACTGCTCAAATACTTTTTCTGACGTGATATATTTGGTTGTGTTAGAGATGTTAAACGAAATTAATAGTTGGCAAATTCAACAAGTCAGTCAAGTTTGGCTCGTTAAGACTTAAAAATAGATTTTTTTTTAATTGAACTTTTTGTAGCTTGACTCATTAATATTGATAGAGCTTGTTTATTGACTCGGTTTGTAAAGAAGCCGAGCTCAAGGATCAAAAGTTAAAACTCGACTAGTTAATATTAATATTGATAAACGAGTTAAATCGAGCTCGTTTATTGACTCGTATTGTTAAGGAGTCAAGTTCAGCTCAACTCAATAAACATTCAAGTGCTTTAGACTGTGATGCCATAAAAGTCTCCAAAATATGCAAAATTAATAACAATTAGAAAAATGTTTTCCTTAAAAGCCTCAACTACAACTCACTGTTTTTGTTTTTGTTTTTGTTTTTTAATTAATTCTTATTTTCGAGGCGGGTATGGCTCCATACACTTAAGCCACTTTCCACAACCTGCCAAATCAGACAAAATATCACATCCACATGGCGGCCTATGATTGGCTCAATATTGACAGCCTCAAACTGGACATCTTTTAGCACCTATTTATACTCACACTCGTACTGTACAAAGATTGTGTGTGGCAACGAGAGGGAGCGTGGAGATAAGATTTTCAAAACAAAGTCTCTCGCCCTTAGCTTATCTTTGTTCCCTGTTTGGAGCCACAAAAAATTAGAAGCTCTTATCAATGGCTTCAGCATCTCTCCTCAGGTCATCGCCAGTCCTCGACAAGTCCGAATTCGTCAAGGGCCAAACGCTCCTCCGCCAGCCGTCTGCTATCGTCCGCCCTAAAGCCGCCACCTCAGCTCTCACCATCCGCGCATCCTCGTACGCCGATGAGCTCGTGAAAACAGCGGTGCGTATATATCAATATAATGTCTCAAGTAAATGTGTGTATAAACGAGTCGAGACGAGCTCGAACTTGAGCTTTTGATATTCGAGCTCTGACTCGAACCTCTCATTAACTAGACGAAGCTCGACTCATTTATGTTTGAGCCTTAACGAACCTCGTTGACTAAACGACTCGTTTATCAAAATTCAAATATCTCAAGTAGGGGTGTGTAAAGGAGTTGAGACGAGCTCGAGTTTCTGATATTCGAGCTCTTACTCGAGCCTCGACAAAGCACGACTCGTTTATGAATATTAAGAAACTGAACTCGAATCTTAACGAAGCTAGGTATAGAAAATTGCATAAATAAAATTTTCTATGTTTGAGCCTCGTTAACTAAACGAGGTCGAGCTCAGATCGTTTATCAAATATCTCAAGTAGGGATGTGTAAACGAGTTGAGACGAGCTCGAGTTTATGATATTCGAGCTCTAACTTGAGCCTCTCGTTAACTAGACGAAGCTCGACTCATTTATGAATATTAACGAAGGGAACTCGAATCTTAACGAAGCTAGCTATAAAAAACCGCATAAAAACAAAAATTCTATGTTTGAGCCTTAACGAGCCTCGAGGTCGAGCTCAACTCTTTTATCAAATATCTCAAGTAGGGGTCGAGACGAGCTCAAGTTTCTAATATTCGAGCTCTGACTCGAGCCTCTTGTTAACTAGACAAAGCTCGACTCATTTATGCATACTATCGAACTGAACTCGAATCTTAACGAAGCTAGCTATAGAAAATCGCATAAATAAAAATTTCAATGTTTGAGCCTTAACGAGCATTGTTAATTAAAGAAAGCCGAGCTCAGCTCATTTATCAAATGAGTCGAGTTCATGAGTAGCTTGTTTTGTTTAAACCGATTGGATCGGACACTAAGATTGTCTCTTGCAACTCGAGCCTTAACGAGTGGAGTTCTTCACGAGTGACTCGTTGCGTTTAAAAGCTCTAACAATATGCAAAAACAATAGCACCTAACGAATCAAAACAAGCAATCCAAAGATCCGATTGGACACAAATATTAATTATCTCGCGCAATAAATTCAAACCTTCGTATATCAAGTCGTAGAGACTCTCGTTGTCTTTTCTTAACGCCGAGTAACAAAATGGCAATATTAAAAATTATACAATAATGTTGATGAGTGTTTTGGTGTGTAGAAAACCGTAGCCTCTCCAGGGCGCGGGATTCTTGCCATGGACGAGTCAAATGCCACTTGTGGCAAACGGCTGGCTTCTATAGGCTTAGAGAACACTGAGGCCAATCGCCAGGCTTACCGTACCTTACTCGTCACTGTTCCCGGGCTCGGAAGTTACATTTCGGGCGCAATTCTCTTTGAGGAAACTCTTTACCAATCGACCACCGATGGCAAAAAAATGGTTGATGTTCTTGTCGAGCAGAACATTGTTCCTGGAATTAAAGTCGACAAGGTGATAAACACTTACGATTAAACAAAAATTAAGCTAATGATTGATTATATTTTTATTTTTTTTTCATTATAACTTGATATTGATTATAACAGGGTTTGGTCCCACTTGCTGGGTCGAATGACGAGTCGTGGTGCCAAGGTCTCGATGGCCTTGCTTCGCGCTCCGCAGCTTATTACCAACAGGGTGCTCGTTTCGCCAAATGGTATTTGATATTTCTAATTTTCAATCCCCATAAAGAACAAATTTTAGTTGTAATTTTTTTTTTTAATAATTTAGGCGTACTGTTGTGAGCATTCCCAATGGGCCATCTGCACTGGCCGTGAAAGAGGCCGCTTGGGGCCTGGCCCGTTATGCCGCTATCTCTCAGGTATATATATATACACACACACACATACATACAACAGTAATTTTTTCAACGAAAATGAAGTTATATTAGATCCATATACTGTGTTTGCATAATGTTTTGTTTGGTTGATAAAAATACAGGACAATGGTTTGGTCCCAATTGTGGAGCCGGAGATTCTTTTGGACGGTGAGCATGGAATTGATAGGACTTTCGAGGTGGCCCAAAAGGTGTGGGCCGAAGTTTTCTTCTACTTGGCAGAGAACAATGTGTTGTTTGAGGGCATTCTTCTCAAGCCCAGCATGGTGACACCTGGCGCCGAGTGCAAGGACAAGGCCACGCCCGAGCAAGTTTCCGATTATACCCTCAAGCTCCTTCACAGGAGGATTCCCCCTGCCGTCCCTGGAATCATGGCAAGTTTTCGTATTTATACCCAGCAATTTAATTTTTGTCTCGGTTTTCAAGCTTTTCTGTGCTTCGGTAACAAAATTTGGACTATTATGACTTGTGAAAAAGGCTCATGCTTTTACAGTAAGTTGATAAAAACTTATATATAAATTCTGGCTTTTCAGTTTTAGTTACTTCCTTATGTTAGTTACATTACATGTATTGATAAAAACTCATATTTGCAAGACAAAAGGTACAAACTTTCATTAAGTTACACTCTTCCACTATGGTTATGTTCGGTATTGGTAAACTTAGATAATAAGTTAGCTTATAGCTTTTAAGTTAATAGTTTATATATGACTTATGACTGAAAAACTAACTTATATGATAAAAGTGTTTGATAAAATTAGCTGATAAACTAGCTGAAATAAAAATTTCAATAGGCTTATTTCAAAAGCTACCATTGAAGCTTATTAGATAAACTCGAGCGTTCTATCAAACCAATCTTATTTGAATACAGGAAGCTTATAAGTTAATCAAATAAAGTATAAGCTAGCTTATATGCTCACCAAACACTGCCTATAAACATTTGTGATGCATATTCATTTTACATTTTTCCTCTTGACTTGTATGGAAATACAAAAAAGCAAACACTTACTCTAAACAGAAAAGGATATACAGATAGATGCATATATGTATTATGCAAACACTCTATTAGCCTTCTACATGAGAGTCTATACACTGTTTTCTTGATCGAATAATTAATACTCGCACAAAAAAGGCGGCTCAAGAGGCTTTGCTTATCCGAGCCAAGGCTAACTCACTTGCGCAGCTCGGGAAATACACGGGCGAAGGTGAATCCGAGGAGGCCAAAAAGGGCATGTTTGTTAAGGGCTACAGCTACTAGGCTTACATTGAAGGCTAAAATGGGAAAAAAAAAAACAAAAAACAAAAAAAGGAAAAAGAGAGATCTTGAGATGAAGGGGGAATATGTGTGTGTTGTGTTGTGTTGTGTTGTTTGCCTCTGTGGTGTTTATAGCCCAACTGAAGACTATTTTGATTTAAGCTGAATGTACTATTTTGAGAGTATTTAATAAGCCTTGAACGCTGATGAGAATCTAGATAGCTCTGTTTGTATTAAAATCATGGTATATGAATTTATCAGATTTCATGATTTTTATTTTTTTATTTATTTTATCTTGTTCAGGTTAAAGTATGTTCCTGAAGTCTCAATTTTTGGCTCATTTTACAGTCAAATACCCTTTTTCATGTCCTGTACATATTCTACGAGTGTGTTAGTTTAAATTTTGTTACAGTTACGTAGATACCAAATATATAAAAAAAAAAACCATTCTGCAACTAGAGCTAAACCAAATCTAACAAGCGTAGTGCTAAAAGTACACCAAGTATAATGTCTACGACTGTGTTAGTGTGTATAATTGTGTATTTAATGTATTAGCCTTAGGTTATTTTTCAGTATGTGTAGCCCTAATTTTGTGTATATATTTTTTATTAATAGAATTATTGTATCATTCGATTGAAATGATCTTTCCCTATCGTCTCTTTTGTATCAGACTGTCGAATTGTTGAAAAAATTACATCAATTGCGTTAAAAATTCACAAAATCGGAAATACATGGCATCAAACAACTTTAGTTTCCTTAGATGCTCAACAAAGACATTGATATATTAAAACAAGAGCAAAAATGATTTTTTTCTTGCCCTACAACGTTCAATGAAACACAACCGTCGTTATTAATTTGTTGCTTTTGACTTTTCACCTCCATTATTAATTTGGTTCAGGCTACATTGCCTGAAGTTCTGTAACCTAATTTCATCCGATTTTGTACACCTAATTTGATTATGACCATATTTTTCTAGAAACGAAATGACAATGGAAATAAAAAGTAAAATGAAGAACAATGAAAGATGATAAGAAGAAAGAAGGGGAGAGAGCATAGATTGTATCGAGTCAGTGGATGACTCTCTTATCAAGTTATTCATAACTTTATAGACACCTGTCAAAAGTATATTGTTTGAAGGACATGTTAATACACAATGAAAACCCTATGCAAATCATTTGTGAATGAAAAATAATATTATGTAAAGTGGAACAAAATATGGTGAGGTGTGTGGGGTAATTTTATAAAATAAGAACCTACACACAAATTAATATGCAGAACAATTTGTACTGTTAATTAAAAGTTTCGAGCATAATCACTTATAACTTATAAGTAGTAATTTAAAAAAAAAAACAATAAATATAGAAATATTTGTATGAAAGTCTTTCACATGAGTACAAACAATATTCTAACACGGTCATGCGTTTAAGAAGCCGTGATAAAGAACAGCCTCGGAATGAGGTTCCACTAGGAATCGAAGCTGGATGTGGATATGCATGAGTACCGCTTATTTTTTTAAAAAATTGTTAAAATACCACACTCAAAATAAAATCATAAATTAACTATTTATAAATTAGTCATAAATAAAAATAACAATGCAATTTAAAAATTAATAATAAAAGTAAATCACAAATCAACCAATTATTAACATTTTAAGTTAGTATATTTATAATTAAAAAAATATTGTCTATATGAAAATAAATAAAATTTTGTAGGTGAACCGTGTATTATTAATTTATTACATTATTATTAATTTATTATATTATATTTAAACAAACATATAAGTTGAGAAGGTTGGGCCTCCCATTTATCCTTTAGTATATCATGGGCGTACTAATATAATTAATCAGCCAGAGGCCCATAATCAGTAACAAAAAGTGCCCATATGCAGTAGAGGTGCACACGTGGCGAAAATCAAAACTAGAGAGCACAATAAGCACCTGGTCTCGGCTGCACCTTACCCTGTCCGTCCCCTCCGTTTAATCTTCTCTCCAACTGCATTTATTCCTTTTCCTTTCAATTTTTTGACAAGACTCCTCAGCTTTCATTATTCTTTCTCATAGTCATAGCGAGGGATTTCGAGAAGGTTCCCAGGCTCTGCAGTTTGAAGCATACAAATTATTCGAATTTTCTGTACTGCAGATCTAAACAGAAAAAAATTGCGGTTGCCAAATTTGATCATAGAAACTATGTCTATGGTATGCTATGATTTTGATGCCATTGTTTACTGTTATATGTATTTCACAGGTTTTTTTCATGTAAGGTTTGATTAAAGGAGTTTCAATTTTGTGCCGCCCATGAAATTTTGGATCTTTTTATGTTTCTATATGGATTGCTTTGCCCTGATACTTGAAACCAATGATTTTTGGGATCATTGTTGTAATAAGGCGAGCTGTTTTGTAGTTTACTACTGTTTGTTGATTAATCTCTTGGGTAGAATCCTAGAATTTGAGAAGAGGATTCATTTAGCTTCTAAGTTCACTTTCCCAGATGTCATGTACTGACTGTGCTTGTTATCTAAGTATTTTGGTTTTGGTTTTTATGTCCGGGTTAAACATTTTTATGCAACATGTATAGTATACGTGTTTTTAGACTTTGTTGTGTATAGTATTTTTTGTTGGTAAAATGCAATGTGAAATTCATGAACATTAACAATTTGCAACCTCTCTGTATGTTGTGTTTTTGCATATGATTGTATGGTCAAGATGTATTGGAGGTTGCAAATAATGAATGTTCATTGCATTTTCAGAGAAAAATAATATAGATTGCTAAGTCCAAAAACACATATGGTACAAGTTGCAAAAAGGAACATTTTTTTATATTCAAATATATCAAAGAACATTAGTCATTGCCAGCATACAAAAGAGGTGAAACAAAAATTGTTATGTTAATAAAAAAAAACTAACAACTCCTTCCCCACACAGTATCATTTTTTTTTTTAATTTAATTTTATCCTAATCGTAATTAGAAGTCTCTAAAATAACATGATGTGCATTCTCAATCTTGTTGATTATATAATTAGGTTAAGGTTGAAATATTTTAAGTTTTACATTTCAGTTTTTCGACGGGTATGGATATCATGGAACATCATTCGAGCAAACATACCGGTGTTACCCTGCTTCTTTTATTGACAAGGTTAGATGGCTTCCCTTAGAAAGTATATGAATCTCATGTCTATCAATCTTCTGTTGTAACGTTCACGTATTTTCATCACAAGAATTTTATATATATATATTTTTTTTTATCTAGCAATTCGCTAATGCGCTGCGAAGGCTCGTGCCTTTATTTGTCCTTTTTGAAGAATTTGGATTTATCTATCACTATTTTATGTTACATGGTGTCAGCAATAGTTTTTTGGTCATATTTCGGTTTGATCATTGATGTATAGTTTTTGTTTGTGAATCTACAAATATCTGTTTGACATAGTTTTGATTTTTATATCTCTCAACTTTGCAGGCACAGATAGAAAATGGTGACAAAGGTAGGCTTTCAGCTCTCTTTCCTGATATGAATGGGAGTTTGTGTTTTCTTCATTTCACGTTATCTTATTGTTCCTTTATATTTGTCAGTTATCATGCCTCCTTCAGCTCTGGACCGTCTTGGTAAGGGATCTTGACCTTTCCTGATATTGCTTATCATTTTCGATTGATATTCTATTTGATTTTGCCATCATTTAACTTTGATCTAAACTTTGAATTGACCTTGTTTTTTATAGCATCACTTCATATTGACTACCCTATGTTGTTTGAGCTCCGAAATACTGCTGTCGAGCGTGTTTCTCATTGTGGGGTTCTGGAGTTTATTGCTGAAGAAGGCATGATATATATGCCTTATTGGGTATGCTCAATTACTTAAAAAATATTTTTATTTCATGACCTTTTTAGATGGATACCACAATTTAATTGTTATATAATTATTATTATTGTGTTGTCCATTAGATGATGGAGAATCTACTCCTACAAGAAGGAGACTTTGTGCGAGTGAAAAATGTTACTCTCCCAAAGGGCACGTATGTTAAATTGCAGCCACACACTAAGGACTTCTTGGATATTTCCAATCCGAAAGCTATGTGAGTGCATTTGCATTTTTCTTTCGCCTGAATATTGCAGAAACAGATATTTGTCGGTATTGTTGTATTCTACTAAAAAAAGTCTTGGTTTATGTACCAAATATAAATTTGTAATCTGAGTGCTGAAGGTTTAATTTTTGCCGAAATTTTTATCTATATATAAATTTCTTGGTTGAATATAGGCTTCTCGGTTTTGATTTTTAATTTTGAAAATCCGTTTTTATGCAGCTTGGAGACAACGCTGAGGAACTTTTCCTGCTTGACCACAGGGGATAGCATCATGGTGGCTTATAATAATAAAAAATATTACATAGACATAGTTGAGGCGAAGCCATCCAATGCAATAAGTATTATTGAAACTGATTGTGAAGTGGACTTTGCTCCTCCTCTTGATTATAAGGAACCGGAAAAACCTGCCCTTCCCGCTTCAACAGGCAAAGCACCAGTTCAAGGTGCAACTTTCATTAATTTCTTATCATATTTTTACCTATCTTATAATTTACTTTTACATTACATCAACTTTGATTATTACATTCTAAATATTATTTAATTTCAAACTTAAAATCATTCACTCAATCTACTTTATTCAAAATAACTCACTTTAACACGCTTTAACCAAACAAAACTGGTCAAAACCGATTGGATTCATATCCAATCGCGCCCTATATATATAATTTACTTTTTGGTGCAAAAGATTTTTTGGTACTTCCTCTCAACTTGCATTGGATGTACTTTGGCTGGAATCATAAAATCAACATCAAATGGCTCTACCAAACCAATAGCCTAATCGTTCATAAATGTTTTATGCAGGTGAAGAACCTCCAGAGGAAGTTGAACCTAAATTTAATCCGTTCACTGGTGTCGGTAGACGCTTGGATGGTAAACCTTTGAAAACACCACTAACTTCATCTGCCCCTCAAAGCAAAAGTACCAATTTATCCAGTGGAGTTGGATCAGCCACAGCCTCGAGTTCCAGCTCACAAGTCGGCACCAATCGGCAGTCTCAGGGAAAATTAGTCTTTGGTTCAAATGCCAACCGGCCTAAGGAAACACAAAAGGTTTGTTCCGTTCTCTATTATTATTATTATTATTATTATTATTATTTTTTATGAAAATGCAGTTTATAACATATTGTTGTGGGGGGAAAAAAGACGATATAACTTGTGCTCGAGAAAAATACGCAGATAATGCTCTTGAAGTTTGTGTTTGCTATGAAAATAGCCTTTTTTTTTAATGGGGTGCTACTTGTATATTAGAAGCATATGTTACAGAAATATTTATAATTTAACTAGGTAATTTTTATTTTCTTTCGTTCTTTTTTTATATTATTTTAGGTTTTATATGTCCTCTGTTTCTGAAGCCTTTGTTGCATCTATATTGCAGGAAACTGCAAAAGAGGCTAAGCCAGAGCCTCCAAAGAGCGAGGAGCCGAAATTTCAGGCTTTTAGTGGAAAGAAATACTCATTGAAGGGTTGATTTTGTATATTTTTGTTTATGAACTTATATGAACTTATTTAATCCATCAATGGAAATCTAGTGAAACCGATTCAACTGGAATTTTGTTGTTTGAAGGAGGTTGGACAGTCGGCTTTTGATCCAAATTTAGAAGAGATGATTTATGATTAAACTATTTCTACATCTTATCAATTGGTCGTTTGTATTGTTCTTTTGTGGTTTCCAGTTCAAGTTGGTGAATTGTTCGTATAAAAGGTGGTCTTAATTATTAGACAACTATATTTTTTTTAAAAAAGTAAATATGCATACTTTCATAGAGCCATAATTTAATAAATAAGAATATGACATTTTTTCAATATAGTTATGTATTTTTTTTGTAAACATGTAGTTATCGAGCCAGGTCGATAACTCAAGAGTGTAAGCAAGACTTTATTGAGCCAGGTCGATAAACTCATTTAGACCAAAGCTTGATCCTTAAAGAGTCGAACTATAATTTTTTATTTTTTTTTTCCTAGAAAAGTTTATAAATAAGTTTCAACCAAATAAATTGAGCCTTAAGAAGCTGAACTATNTTTTTTTTTTTTTTTTTCATCAAGAAGTTCTATAAATAAGCTTCAACCAAACAAGTTTGAGTCTAGCTGAGCTGTGAGCTCACAGGAGTGATATATAGTCGGGCACCATAGGTACATTTCCAGATTGATAATTTCGGTCCTTTTGTGAAATTCCCAAATCCCATTGGGCTGATATACAAACGTTGCAAACTTTTTGTGCCGCAAATGTTAATGAACCTTAAATATAAGGCCTTTCTGTGAAATATCTATCAATTACGAACAGGCACTTCTCAAACCCAGCTCCTCGACTTCACTTGCTAGGGTTTAAGATCTCAATACGATTTTGTAATCGGAATTGAAATCTATCGATCCGTCAATCGGCTTCGAAAAATGGCGATGATTCAGCTTTGCGACGCCGCCGTCCGGAGGATCGCTTCCGCCGCCGGGCAACGGATGGCTAGATCATCTCTCTCGTCATCAACGCCGGCGCTGGCGACAGAGGCGCCAATCCTTTGCGGTCGAGGGGATAAGAAGACTAAGAAAGGAAAGAGGTTCAAAGGTTCGTACGGGAATTGCAGACCGAAAAAGGAGCAGAAAATCGAGAGGATTAAGGATAAGGTTGAAGTCCCGAGGTCGACTCCATGGCCACTCCCTTTCAAGCTCATCTGAGGTTTTTTCAGGTGATGTTTTGTCGTTCTTGGAGGTGTGCATCTTGATAGGGTTGATGCTTTTGTCACCTGTCGAATGAGGTAAAGGAAAGAAAAAGAACAAAAAAAAAGAAGCTTTAATGGTCGATCCGTGATTTTCATTCTGATTTAAGCCTAGTTTAATAGTTTGATTGATGAAATGGAGCATGAATCTTGAGTGAATGTGTCTCTCATCATTTAGCTCGTTCTTATAGCCAAAAGATACGAATTAGAAAAAATTGTTCAAGCTTGATTTGATAAGTTAAGAATTGTCCTCATGGACCATTTAGGAACATAAGCGGTTTGCTTGATCTTGATCGTATCATATCAGTTAGCTTGATTCGACACTTCCATTTGTTTACTGGTGTGGTTGTCTTTAATGTTCTTTTGGAGTCGCCTTTTATGGGAGAAGAGTGTGCTAATCGATGGTACAGTTTACATTGTTTATGAACACACAGATTAGTCATTTGAGATTAGTTATAGTCTTATAGATGCGCACTTACCTATTATATACATTGTGGTGAGTACATTAGCTTAATAGCTAGGTTATGCTACATTTTCGGGAATGTTTATGTGGGGGGATTTCTTATCTTGTGAGAATCCTAAAGTTTAAACGAGAAGCAATTAGATTTCTAAAGAGATGCAGCTTCATATCTTGGAAAAACCGCACTCTTCAATGCATCTACTCCAATTTGGAAACATATCCATTTTGCCTGTATGGTAGGTTTTGGAGTTAGAATGGCCCGTTATGATCCCTAGTTGTGAATTCCAAATCATACGTGAGGATATCGATAGATAACTCATTTTTCATTATGTGTGTCACTAGTTTGTTGTGGTTGGGGTTGGTGCTGTTAAATTAAACGAGCCTAGCAACTCGGGCCTGAGTAGAGCTCGAGCTTATTTAAAACTCGTTTGGTTAACGAGCCCAGCTTGGCTCGGCTCGATAAGGCTAAAAAATATAATTTTCTATAGTTCGGCTCGTTAAGGCTCGAACTCAGCTTGTTAATAGTGGTATACGAGCCGAGATCGAGCTCGATTTCTCTTTTACAGGCCTAGTTGTGGTTGTGGTTGTGGTTGCTGAATACAATTTTGGTTCTCCTATGGAAATATGCGATTTCATGCCCATGTACGAGTCATGTTTTATAATAGCTCTGTTTAGATGTTAGCGGGGGTTGGGGCGTGAACTTCATTTGGACGTTTGACTCGTCAAGCCCGCTAATTAGCATAGCTTGTTTGGTATGAGTGAAGCTTATTTGATTGGCTTTTGAGCCCAAAAGCTAATTCTGAGAAAGCTTAAATAGGAGCGCTTTGAGAAGAGAGGATTCCTAAAATAATAGGTATAAAATTTTCAAAATAGCTATACAATATATTATTATCACATAGTTATTTACAAACATCTAATTCAATCGCTTAGTCGAATCAATTATTACTATAAGCTATTCGTTAATGGCCAAACAATGCCATTTTAATAGTTGGTTTTGCTTTGTGATGAACCTACAGTTGCCCATGCACACGACCTTTTTATAATGGTGGTAGAATCAAATTCTACGATCGGGTATATTTGTCCATTTGGAGATATATAACATGGAGAAAAAAAATTACAAAATTTTGTCTCCAATGGTTAATGTCAACTCTAGTATAATTTGACACCTGTAAGATTATATTGGTTGGAGATGAGATATATAGTTAATAAATTATATAATAATATATAATAGAGGATATTTAGAAGTACTTCTATGTTTAGAAAGACTTTTAGACATTTTGATTGTCATAAGATTTACTGTGTCACATTGCAATAAAAAAGAACAATCCATGGACCATTGGAGATGCTCTTAATTACATAGTTGTTCGAAAAAACGTATGAACTATATAATTTTTTTGAATTCTTTGGCATGTTCATAAAATATATAGATGTTAATATTGCACAGGATGGTCTGAGACACTGTAAGTTTATGGTATAAGAATCTGCTGTTAATATTGCACGGGTTTGTGGTATAACAATCTTGGCCTTTATGGGCCTATTGGGTTTACCATCAGTGGAAAGTAGGCCTAGTTTAAACTATTCTGGCCTTTATGCTGCTAGTGTTGGGCTTTATAACCAAATATAGACACCGTTGCTTTATTAACAAAGACATGCTTTAACTTTTCAACGTTATCACTATTTCCAAAAACGTCATCGATTTAAGTAATGACGACTTAATCAATCGAAACAGTTGATGTGGCGAATTTTGAACACCTTAAATGCTAAAGTGCCATTAAATAGTTGTGAATAGAATAGGACAAAGTACGATGGTATTGCTTGGTCAAATTTTAGAACTATTGTGGTAGTGAGAACATCCCCGTTTTAAATAAAGCTAGTTATCAAATTTTCTAAAGTTCCGTTTGTTTTGAGGGATTTGATATTCTTTGATTTCAAAATTGTTGAAATATAATTTTTTTTACTTGTACACTCCTTGAATGGATGTGTTAAAAATATTATAAATAAATTGTCTAGCTCGCACCGATAGTGTTGACTCGCAGTGGTGATGAACTTAAATGATCGCAGACGGCGTGGTCGTCAACGGTGATAAACAGTGGATTTCAAATGATTAGGTTTGAGGAGTCATTTTAAATCCTTCAAAATAATGACTAAAAAACATATAGCATGAATTTGAAATCTTTCAACTTCCATTATCATCCCAACATACATGAGCATTTGAACTTGTAAATTTTAAATCTATGGATTTCAAATCCCTCAGTAAATCTCTTAAAACAAATGGAGCTTAAAAGTATTTGAATCTCTATATTACATGTATAGANAACATCAATTGACCTAGTTCAATTGAAGCATAATAAAATTATTATTAAAGTTTAAACATAATTTTATCCATCAATCTCTATATAATATCGATATACAATTTTATAGGATATGAATTAGAAAATTTATTATTTTAGCATATTTATAAAAGCATATGAATACAAGAGTATGGTTGTAAAATTTATACAACCATATGAATACTATACGAATTAGAAAGTTTATACTATATGATATACAATAGTATATCTTTTATATATAAAATGTCGTCATAATCAAAATAACCAACACATATGGTTGTATTATGTTATTTTGAGCATATGAATATCATGTTATAAAAGCGTGCATGTGTTTTGTACGCCCAGTTGCCCACTTTACTGTTAGATGCTATTACAACCAGTGTTTTAGAAGTCGCTAGGCGCTCGACTAGCTTCTAGCGCCTAGAGCATCTAGACGAGACCTAAAAATCAAGACTAAATATCTTATTTTTTTATTTATTTTCACTATCTACCAAATAAAAGTATCTCAACTTATAATAATTCAACACACCTAAGTACAAATAATAATATTAATATAATATAACGAAAATATAACAACAAAATAATATAATTAGTATTTAAAAAAAATTAAAAATTTGCCTCTGAGCCTACCTAGGCGTCGCCCAACATTCTAGCCGTCGAGCCCGCCTAGGAGCGGCTAGACCCACTTAGGCGTCGCTTAGCCGTTTGACCAATTTTTTCAGTCGATTAATGCAAATCAGAAGCGCTGCCTATGTCGATTTTTAGTACATAAGTTACAACAATATTAAGTTTTTATTCTCATGAAAAATAATTTCAATGCACCAATCCTTGAAATAATTAAACAACTACAAATCATCATTCATACCACGTCATAATCCCCACCTAATCATCAAACCTATAAAAGGATATAGTCACATTCTCAAAATGGGGATTAAAAATGAAAGAGATGAAGAGTTGAGAAGAAACAATGTCGTTGGGGACAAAAAAGATATGAAATTAGTGGTTGAAAATTGTGTAAAAGTTGCTTTCATTCCACATAAGCACTTGTGAGTGTTTGTGGCTGTGAATGAGGGTTACAAGAACCAGACAGAAGTTTGTACTAGTTAATAATGTCTCAACATGGTACACAAATCCATATTCTTGACTTTTTTTTTTTTATTTAAATCAAGATTTACTTATTTTTGGATGTGTGATCATTTTGGCTGTTGTTTGTGGACCCCAAGC